TTTCTATCTCGTCAGTGCTTTGTTCTGATACACAGTGACTTGTAAGTCTCATCTAAGCCTTATATATAATATATAAAGTGATTTTTTTGGACTGGAGTATTTGAACTTTTTTCATTTTAATTCACAGATTATCTGGTTATATTGCGGCATATAGTGAATTCCGCCTTTGCTTTTAACTTTTCCTTACCATAGCAATAAAACTACACAGTTACCTGAAACATGAAACCTTGTATTATAGCTCCCCAAGTGATTGTGAGATTTATTGGATGGGGTCAGTGTCCTGCCCTCCCATGCTCTCAGACACCTCCATCCATCCATAGCCCGGTGCACTAGCACGTAGGGCGCACCACACTCCAGCTTCTTGTTCCCTTCCCAGGCACTGTTCTGCCCTCTCAATCCCAAGTACATACTCACTGCTAGTTTCTACAGGGGACAGAGCGACAGAGTCACTTTTTATCCAGGAGCAGGGAAACTGAATATTGTTTTTTTAAATAGGTTCTAACCTTTAGTTTAAAAGAATCAGTATCATTTTTATTTTCTTTCTTATACTAAGGTATTCCCCTAATTTCCCTCCCCCCCTCCCTCTCTCTCAGTTGGTAAAGTTTGCTAGTGCACACCTCTAATACCAGCACTTGGGAGGCAGAGGCAGGCGGATCTCTGTGAGTTTGAGGCTAACCTGGTCTACAAAGCAAGTTCCATTACAGGCTCCAAAGCAAGACAGAGAAACCCTGTCTCGAAACCCAAAACAAAAAGTTGATAAAGTTCATAGTGAGGCTGGGCTGGACCGACAGCCTCCAAAACAATACAGAGAAACCCTGTCTTATAAAACCAAAAAAAAAAAAAAGTTCATAGTGCATGATTTTTTTCCATTTCACGAAGATGAGCCACCCAGCTGTATGTTCCCCTGCTGGGCTCAGAGCTTCCTGGGCCTCTTTGTTTTTGTTTTACAACTTCTTTTTATATTTACTCGTTCATTCATTCAGTGTGTCCCTGAGTGTCTGCACCGTGGAGTATGTGAAGGTCAGAGGACAACTTAGAGGAGTCAGTTCTTTCCTCTGCTGTGCGGATCTTGGGGGTTGAGCTCCGACTGTAAAGTGGCGAGGCTTGGTGGCAGCACCACAGAGCCATCTTGCTGGCTTTGTTTGTTGTCTTTGAGACAGAGTCTCACTGTGCAACCTGGGGTGATCTCAGACTCACAGCAGTCCTCCTGCCTCAGCCTTCTGAAGGCTGAAATGGTGTGTGTGGGCCAACTTTCCTAGCTGCTCTTACATCCTTTCAAGACAGCCTCTTGATGGGTTGAAGCAGATATGTCACACAGTTTAGCCAAGTTTATTCCACCATAAATCCATGTCTCTATGGCATTATGTGTTGGACATACTTATAGAAACTGTAAATAGAACTTTTGGGTTCATTTCTGATAAATTATAACAAAATGATTGTCATGGTTTTAGAACCCAGAGAAAACGGGTTGGCTTAGATGAATGGATTCCTGAGGGGACAGAGACAAACGCCACAGAGTTCTCATTACTTGGTTACTTGGTAGAGGTCTGTGTGGGCTTTGTTTTCGGCATCCATTCCACACAGCTCTTGGCTGTGTGTCAGCTAACCCCATTTTTTTCTTTCTTTCTTTTTTTGGTTTTTCGAGACAGGGTTTCTCTGTATTGTCTTGGAGGCTGTCCTGGAACTCGCTCTGTAGACCAGGCTGGCCTGGAACTCACAGAGATCCACCTGCCTCTGCCTCCCGAGTGCTGGGATTAAAGGCGTGCGCCACCACCGCCCGGCCCCCCCATTTTTTTCATTAGAAGACTTGCTATGGGTTATATGCCTTTGCTTGACCAGTGATAACCTGTACCTCCTCATGAGTGGAAATGTATGCTTTATCTTTCTCTGTTGTAATTAGTTACATTGAAAAATATAAAGCAGAAGCATGTCTGAGAAAGATAGTAAAAATACTTGAATCTTTGTGCCTCCCCTTTTAAGTAAGAATTTGCATTCAATCTTTTAAACATTGAATTATTAACTATACAATTTGGAAACACCATGTTTCTTAGAGTGATTTGTTCTGTTGTAAAATAACCAGTGGTAGATAATAACAGTTGTGGTTTTATATGGCTCCTCCCCACACACAAAGCAAAACAAACAAAAAACTTACTTAAACACAAAACCCTCCTGGCCATTAGGAGCATGTTTTTTTTTTATTGTTTTTTTTTTTTTTTTTTTTTTTTGAGACAGGGTTTCTCTGTATTGTTTTGGAGGCTGTCCTGGAACTTGCTCTATAAACCAGTCTGGCCTTGAACTCACAGAGATCCACCTGCCTCTACCTCCCAAGTGCCACCAATGCCCGGCTCCAGGAGCATGTTTGAGGATCATTGTGCCACCTCAAACCATTTCCCTGCGCATATTTACAGAGTAGCTCATGTGTGCTGATGTGATTTCCTTCCTGTATATATCATCTGACTGTAGAAATAAAAATAGCTCCTTTCTATTTAAAGTTGGTTGGACTGTATTTTAAGTATTTTCTCTAACAAGTGGCTTTTTGCAGAATCTTTCCATGGTGAGCAGCAACGTGGGGTTTGTGGAGTTTTTGGTTGGTCGGTAGAATGCTTTCTCTGAATCCCAAAGCATTGATGCTCCCAGCTGAACACGTTAATTCCCATCAGGACTTTTTAAAAGTCCTGGGAGGTTTCCAAGTGGCTCTTTTTGGAGCCTTTTGTTGAGGACCAGCAGAGATAGACAAGCCAGGATCTGTGCTCCATCTGGCTCTGCAACTCCCAGCCCATGTCCCCCTTCCTTGTTAAAGGGATCGACTTCTTGGGCTTATTGTATAGAATGAAACTACTTCCAGGCACAAGCATACATGTAAATGTTGATTTAACTATTGTAGCTTGGGGTTGGTAAAGGCTTTCTGTGAAGGGCCAGATGGTATTTTAGACTTTAAAGACCCCATAGTCTCTGTCATAGCCACTCAGCATGGACACCGCCACAGACACTGTACAATTCTTCCCTGTCTATGTCCCAATAGATTTGTTTGTAAAAACAGACTGTAAGCCAGCATGGTGGCACACTTCTAATCCTAGAACTCAAGAGGATCAGGAGTTCAAGACCAGCTTCCCCTGCACAGCAGGTTCCCAACTGGCCAGGAAGATGTGAGACCGTGTCTCAAAAAGTAAAAGAAAAGAAAAATCAGTGTAGCTTGGTTTGGTGGTACACACTTGTAATCTCCACACTGATGATGCTGAGACAAGAGGACTCCAGATTCTAGGCAAGCCTGAGCTACATAAATTCTTTTCCCAAAAGTGAAAAAAAATCCAGGAGATGGGCCATAATATAATAGACCCTTGTCCAAGACTAATAAAAGTAACAAAAGAAGAAGATATGGAGAATATAGTAAGAACTCTGTGTAGCTCTTGTTTGAAGTATACTATTGAGAATCTAGGTTGACCTTAAAGGTTGGTTTACAAACTGAAGACATTTAGAAAGTCTGTATCTGCATGAGATGTTAAAGGAAGTGGAAGGGGACAGCTGGGAATCAGACAGGGAGACCAGAGTGAGCTGGAGTGGGGCTGCAGCTCACCTGAACTAGACTGACAGTTGTCTTGTTATTACCTGCTTAGGACTGTGTCATGTAACACTCACATTGTGTTAGACACAACAGGTTTAAAATCTCCATCTGTGTCATGCTCTGCTCAGTTAACAAACTTTCAGTGAAAACTTCAGCAATAGGAACCAGTAAAGAACAGTTCTAGATCTGTGGATGAACACAGATGGAGGGCATCCTAAAACACATCCCTCCTTGTTCTCTCAGAAAGATACTCTAGCTCAGTGGTGGCCATATCTGTGGTGATATATTATTTATGATTTATTAAAGATTTCCTGAGGATTCAGAAAGCAAAGTTAGCCACAAGCCATATAAAAATCAGGCACACACCTTTAATTCCACGACTCCGGACTAAAAGGTAAACAGATCTCTCTATCAGTTCAAGACCACACTGACTACACAAATCGATCCAGTGTTAAGAGAAACAACTCACAAAGATGATCTCAGCACTTGGATTCACACACTTTAATCTTGCACTAGAGAGGTATAAAAGATAGGAGCAGTCAGTCTCAGGAGTCTCTAACCACTTTGAGGACAGCATAGCAGTCAGAGTGAATCTGAGGAGCAGCCTGAGGATCCGCCCTTTGGTCTGAGGATAGGTAGAGAGGTAAGAGCTAGTGGCTGGCTGCTTTGCTTTTCTGATCTTCAGCTTGAAGCTTGAACCCCAATATCAGTCTCTAGGTCTTTTATTTATTGTGAGACATGTACTTAACTCATGTGAGGCCTGAGTGTGACCATCAGCACTGCAGAAAACTCAAGTTTTATTTAGCCATTTTATGGGCCAGTCCCGAGGATTTTTTTTTTCTTTCGAGGCAGGGTTTCTCTGTATTGTTTTGGAAGCTGTCCTGGAACTCACTCTGTAGATCGGGCTGGCCTCGAACTCACAGAGATCCATCTGCCTCTGTCTCCTGAGTGCTTTGATTAAAGGCGTGCGCCACCAATGCTCAGCTCCGATGATGATTTTTTTTTTTTTTTTTTTTTTTTTTTTGGTTTTTCGAGATAGGGTTTCTCTGTATTGTCTTGGAAGCTGTCCTGGAACTCGCTTTGTAGACCAGGCTGGCCTCAAACTCACAGAGATCCACCTGCCTCTGCCTCCCGAGTGCTGGGATTAAAGGCGTGCGCCACCAACGCCCGGCCTCCGATGATGATTTTTACACAACATTTATTTATTGTCTAGCTATTTCTTTCCCATTAGACCATTGATGTTTACAGCTATAAGGTAATTTTTTTTTTTGCTTGAGGCCTTCACATTGAATTTATGTGACTACCTTAACCTTCAACCCTTTACTATAGATGGAGGATTACTACCTTCAGCCATGGCAAGAATGAGTAAAGTGCTTAGAACATACCACCTCCCCACTGTTGCCACTGAATAACCATCTTCCAAACTTCCTTTTTTTAGAAACTGACTCAACAGGACAAAAAGACAAAAACCAGACTCCTGCTCCCACTGTGGCTCAGACCTCCGCTCCTTCCAAGTACCACCGAACTCGATCTGGAGGGGCCAGAGATGAGCGATACCGATCAGGTAAGAAGGAATTGCTGAAGTTTTCCTGCCTGTAGTGTGAACTGTGTGTCTTGAGCTCTATGAACTGTGTTCTAAGGAGTGTAAACTGTATGTCTTGGGCAGTGTGAACTGTGACCTGAGCAGTATGAACTATTCGTCTTGGGAACTGTGAACTGTGCGTTCTGGGCAGTGTGAACTGTGTCCTGAGCAGTGTGAACTGTGTTCTAAGCACCCCTCATGGTTGGTGTGCTGCTTTCTGTTGAGCCAGAAGGTTGTGTTCATTTACTCAACAGTCTATCTAGCACATCTTGAGTGTCAGCTGCAGATACTCAAGTTTCCTGACCAGACAGCAGCAAATGAGACCATTTCTGCCTTCAAGGAATTTCAGTTTCAGAAAAGGAGCCAGACAAGTGCAACATCATTGTGATGGGAGTTAGGTCCCGTGGGCAGAGGAGGCCACTCTTTCTGTGCTTATAGAGTTACTGAATAGTCCCATGGTTCACAGACCTGAACAAAACACAGTGGAACATCACATAGTGAACTCATCAGCTTGGTATCTTCTAACCCAGAAGGTGTTGCTGGCAAGTACTGTACTTACCAGTGGGACAGCTGGTGGGTAGAGTAACAGATCATAGAGCAAGGCTTTGTGTTCCTGCTTACGAGGTGCCCTGTGCCGCATATCCTATGATTTAGGTAACAGACTAGGCTAAACAACTTCACTGTAATATTATTTTGCTTCCTCTAGATTTTCTCTCCCTTTTACCAGCTAAAGTTACCATGGTCTTTTCTTGAGTTGAAAAATATCCTCTTGGAAACAACTTAAAAGGACATTATTTACAGAGCCAACCAGTCCATTCTGTGAGTGGATTTTACTAGACATGTAATTTCACACATGGGGTGATGAAAATGAGAGATAATTAGTTACCACCACAAAAGGATTGCACATCATACCAGTTTCCCTTGAAGCTTACCTTGTTCTGAGGGATCAGGTAACAGTGGAGTCATGGCAAAGAGAGTTGAGAATTAGGGAAATGGCACTAGATAGTAGACCCCAAAGTAGTTGGAAATTAAAGTGCAGAGGCTAGCAGGGAGAGAAGACAGGCTAGGGAAGCTTTTCAGAGGCCAAATCTTGAGCATTCTCAAGTGTACTAAGAGTTGTAACAGAGTGGGAATCTACTCAGATTTCTGTTTGTTTTAGTAGCTCACTCCAGTGCACACTGCTTGCTGTCCACTGATGTCTTCCAGTGCTAAAGAGGTACTTTGGGTTAACAAAGGAAGTAAAGTAGGATTGCTTGTTTTGCTACTGGATTGTGGCCCAGGCTGTCCTTAGATGGCATGAGTCCTCTCCTTCCTCAACTTCCCGAGTGCTGGGATTACAGGTGTGCACCACCACGCCCAGCTAAAAGCAGCTGCATTTAGGGTGGATCAGAGGGAGGTGATGCTGGCGGCAGCAGAGCATATCCAAACTTTCTGTATGTTGCCAAGCATCCAACTTGGTTTCCTAGGTACCACTGTCTCCTTTTCAGGCCGACTCACGGTCAGCAGAGTGCTCTAACCAGAGCACAAGGGGGTGAACACTTAGAATTCTCATTTCTAGCCTTCTGGGAGACGTTGTTTCTCCCCTGGTTTACCTTTCTTTCATGCATGTGTGTTGATAGATTATGATAAAAGATTTAGTTTAAGAGGCCAAGAAGCTGATTTTCTACATTCTGTGTCCAAAACGATTTTGAATCAAGAAGACTTGGTGAGCTCATTGGCTGATGTGAAGTTTATGACTGTCTTGCACAAGCCCCATAGTGACCTCCAGCCACTGCCGTTCTGAACCACTTCTTTTAGAATTCCCCAGCGGATAGAACTCGTAGTCTGTGAATCAGGTGTCTGTAAACACAGGGGCAATGGGAACGGTTCAGTGTGGTCAGGTTGGTGTCTGTCTCACTGAGACTTTGTGGGAGGGAGGAATCTTGCAAGAGGCAGGCCAGTAAGGAGGGATAAATAGGGAAGAAAAGGTGATTCACAAAAGTAGTAGTCTCTGTTGCTCAGTGGCTAAGGGTACTTGCTGCTCTGCCACAGGACCTAGTTTGGTTCTCAGCATTCATATCAAGTGGCTCCCAACAGCCTGCAAGTGTAGCTCCAGAGGATCTGACTTCATTTACTGGCCTCCAAGAACATCCACATGTATGTGTGCAAACCCACAAACACAAATAAAAATAATAATTTTTTTTAAATCTCTGAAGTGCTGGAAACATGGTTTAGTGATTAAGCGCACATTCGTGCGTGCACACACACGGCAAAATACCCATATGCTTAAAAGAAATAATAATAAAAGTTTTAAAAAAGCACCTCCCTAACATTAAAAAGAAATCTCTGAAAATATGAAAACCTGTGAGAGTTGCAACATTGTCCTAAGTGGAACGTAAAAGGGCAGGTAAACATAGATTATAGACGAACACTGGCTTTTTCAGTGTAGTGGGATGTGCAGTGAATAGCTATAGAAACTCTCCTCACATTGGAGGATGGAATGGTCTTAGAATTCTGACATTCCTGATATTAATGGCAACTGCATGGGTGAGTGAAGGGAGCCTCTACCTCTGTGCTCTGCATCTCCAGCCATGAAGGAGGGCTGTACGGCATGCCACAGGCAAAATAGCTCAAGACCAGAGTGAAGTGATGGGTGCACAGGAAGGCTTGGTAATTTAATGCTGGTAAGTGTGACTGGAAAAAGTTCCTATTTGGCACAGGATGATTTGCACCTGTGACATTCCAAGCAGCCATAGTCAACTCTAAATAGCATTTGTGCTTAACATTTCAGATTAATTGTAAGCTTATGTTTTCAGAGTTTATTTTATGTGTGGGGATGTTTTGCCTGCATATAGTCTGTACATCATCTGTACGCCTATTGTCCATGGAGGTCAGAAGAGGGTGTTGGATCTCTTGAAACTGGAGTTACAGACTTTTGTGAGTTGATATGTGGGTGCTGGAAATGGAACCTAGATCCCCTTGAAGAGCAGCCAGTGCTCTTATTTGGTGAGCCATCTCTCCAGCCCCTGCTTTTAGGAGTTTGGCTTCCGTGATCTGCTCTTGGTGCTCAGCCAAAGGAGCTTAAACATGATGCTGATGTAGTTAGTACTTCTTCCTCCTGACCTTTAGGAGTGGTGCGGCTTCTACACATGTATGGTTTGTTCCCAAGTGCAGAAAACACAGTTAATGCTTACAGTGGAAAGGAAGTTCATCAAACAACACCCTTGATGTAGATCTTTTGAGAAATTAGCCACCCCAAATAAAACAATAAAATGAGAAAGGCCATTCAGGGTGTGTTAGCATCACCCTGTTAATCTGGAAAACGATACTTCTGTGGCTTCTGGCAGAGAAATCTAAAGTCAGCTTTGTCCAGGGACTGAACTTCAGAAGTGATTTCCTTATCAGAGATCAAGATGAATTCTGCACTGTTGAACCCATCACATTCTGTTAGGAGGGCTGCTGTGTTCTGATCAGTAGGAATCTTAGCTAGAGCAACTGGGTCTGTCTTCTTTGACACCAGTGTCTGGGTCAGGGTTTTCACATAGGGAAAGTTGGGTGGCCTAGTGTTCTTCGACCTGATGCTGTGACTCCTGCTGTGTGGTTCTTAGTGAGACAAATGGTTTAAGACTCCCAAAGGCATATCAGCAGGGCCGGTGCCTGGCTTTGGCAGCTTTGCTCTCATATTTCCTATCACATATAAAAGTACTTTTGGAGATAAAGAACCAAGTGAGAGCACTTGCTTTGCTTCTGTCCTGTCATTGAGAAAGTACTTTATTGCATTGTAATTGGTTATTTATTTTCCAAGACAGTGACTAATCATACTTCTTCTAATATAAGGGCCCTTTTTAAAACATTTTACTATATCTGTTTTATAAGATAATGTCAATTTCAATAAGATATGGCAATCTTGATTTGAATAAACTTAGGGAACACTAAAATAATATGATAAATATCAATGCCACATAAAATTATTTCATTTCAGAACCCAAAGTAAGTTGGCACTGTACTTTTAAAATTAATAGCCCAAATTGACCCTGATAGATAGTGTACACCTATAGTCCCAGCATGCAGAAGACTGAACATTACTTAATATTCATAAGTACAGAAACTTGAAAGAAAAATGTACCTGACTGTGGAGCTGCTGTATCTTGCAAAATTCTTACTCAGTATTGTGTGTGTTTAGGTTGTTTTTGTAATATATAATTACTTCTTGCGTTGTATGTGTTTAGATTGTTTTTGTAACATATAGTTGCTTCTTTTTTCCTTTCTGGTCATTCTAGGGATTGCACTAGAATTAGACTAGGACCTCACACATATTAGGCAAGTGCTTGGCCACTGAACAATCCCCACTGCTCATTTTTCTCATTGTTGACAAAATGACCCATAAAAATTTTCCTGTAATTGTAATTGTAAGCAGGACAGTAAACTCTGCTGTGACAATCCAAGTCAATCACTTCATGCCTTATTACAAATTCTCACCATCACTTTGGATCCTTCTGATTTTATATTGGGGAAATGAAGCAGTACCTCCCTCTGTCATTTAGACAAGACCTTCTCTTTGTCCAAATCTGTCCTGTCAGCTTGAGGTGGCTGGCACAGGTACTCCTGGTCAGTCTTTCTGTATTAATAAACCCCAGACTACAGCAGGTGTGCACTTGCAGTGATGGAGCACTTCTTCCTGTGGTCTGAGCACAGCATGGCATTCCAGGGAAACACAGATGAAAACACAAGAGTCCTTCATACAGCCCAGGGTACAAAGGCAGCGTCTAAAAGAGGGGTGGGGAAGCACATGCTGCTGAGGACAGGCTTCATGCTGGTGCTGCCTGAGCCTTCTAAAGGATAAATAGCTGTTTATGCAAAAGAATGACTTATCAAAGCAGATAATGTGGAATATAGGCTTGGAATTCTATCTTCCTGCCCCTCTGGTACATAGAGCTGGGTTACCAAAGGATTGGCAAAGCCAGAGAACTTACTTTTGACATTTGTTTGGAAAAATGAAGAAT